GGAGAATCTAGCACAAGCCCTTTAGATCATAAGGTCTTTCATTAAGTCAAGTGGTGTGATTTGGATCCCAAGGAGTGTGATCACTGTTCAACCTCATTGGCTTTCTCTGAGTTATCCAATTTGCTGTTGCGGGGTTGGATGGCCGATTGGTTAGCACGTGCGCGCTGCATCATATGGTCTGTCATTAAGTCAACTGGCGTGGTTTCGATCCCCAAGTTGTATGTGACAAGGAGTAGGGTTGCCTGTCCAACCTCGTGGATTTTCTCTGGGTCCTCCGGTTTCCTCCCACTGCTAAAGACCCATACGTCCAAGTGAATTATTGAAATAAAATTTGAACCATATGTTAGTCCCGAAATGACCTAGTTTGTGTCAAGTGGACCTTAAACTCCATTTCTCTCTCTCTCCAATTTTCTCAATAATGAATAGTATCTCTGGACAATGGTACTTGGGAGCTTCCTGGATACCAAATGAAATAATATACTATTCTATTTGTGTGTGTTTCACCAATGTGTTATTAGTTTTTTGTACAAAGTGAAACTGGATGTTGGCCTTAAATCTATAGCTAATATAATTTTGGCTCCGTGTGTATGGTGTTAGCTGGCTCACAAAGAGTTCCCCGGTTCGATTTCTCCCATCCCTCTCCATGTTAGTGGTGCAAGATGGACGGCCTGCCAAAGAACGGCATCTAGTCCTTTGAGGGGGGGGGGGGGCACAGTGGCTCGGTGAGTAAAATGCTGGCTCGCTAGCCTGGAGGGCATGGATTCGCTCCCGGTGTTGGCCAAGAAGGTTCCTCGTGATTTCCCCTTGTCGGGGCTTACCACAGACACATGTCTAGATGAGACGGAAAACCGAGGTCCCATGTACAAAGATCCCTTGGCAGTTGGAATTCGATACAAGAGTACGCCGTAGCGCTGCTGACTGAAAATATTTCTTCATAGCACATTGTATGGTGTATGCCCTTCATTAGCCCAGTCAGAGCAAATCAGTAGGACGTTAATCCCATTTTGTTTCCTTTGGACGGGACAACAAAATGAGGTCTTGTTACACATTGTGGCATGCACATAAAAGAATCCTAGACAGTTGGAATTTTCTGAAGACTAGTCTCAAACGCTGTCCAGGCAAAATTTCCCTCATACCACACTCCATTCGGTCTTCATTTGCTGCGCTGGTGCAGGAAAGAAGGATGTTAAATAGTTTAATGGTTAAACATTAACCCTATATCAAAATGAAATGAAATGAAATGGGGTTTAACGTCGTAGTGTTCTGCTCCTATACTGGGCTAATGAAGACGGGCACATGCCATACAGTGTGCTATGAGGGAAATTTTGCCCGGGCAGCGGCACTATCGCCTACTCTTATATCGAATTCCAACTGCCAAGGGATCTTTCACATGCATTCCAATGTATACACGGGACCTCGGTTTTTCATCTCATCCAAAGGACTAGACAGCTGTCCTTGTCAGGCCCTCCGTCCTGCATCATTGACAAGGGGGAACCACGCCGGAAAATCTGGATGAACTTTCTCGGCCAATGCAGGGATAGAACATCCGACCTACAGGCTAGCGATCCAGCGTCTTACCCACTTAGCCACGTGATCCCTCTAACCCTATATCATTTCATCTCTAAAAACTTGAGGGATTGGGTTTGTCTAGTGGTTTAACGCATGCACATTGTATCATAAGGTTGTCATTGAGTCAACTGGCGTGGTTTCAATTCCATGCTTGTACACCACAAAGGAGTAGGGTTGCCTGTCCAACCTCATGGGTTTTCTCCGGGTCCTCTGGTTTCCTCCTGATGCTAATTCAAAATAAGTATATTTATACAACTTGTAGAAGTAAAATGTATTTCTGTACATAAAAAGATTTGAATTTACAATTAACATGAGGTTTGGCAGGTGTAGGCCTACCTATAAGAAAGATTAACATAGATATACAATGGAACGAAATTACAATAAGAAACATTTTTACATAACTTAAAGATACATTATGTAAGATTTAGATGAAGATCTGGCTGTTCTCGCTATAATAGATAATGCAAAATGAATATATTGAAAATTTCATTCAAATTATTTTATTTTGAGCAAAGTTATGACTGCTTGAAGTTATGACAATATAGTACCTGTGCTACGATAATAAACAAAATCTTGATTATCTTTTTTAATGTTAAGTTATTAAATAGCGAGTGATCTAATCCATTAAAAATCACGGCCATCCGATGATGTTCTAGAGAGTTGATTATAGGTTTGGTATGTGAATAAATGCCTAATTAATAATTTATATAACATTTGAAGCTAGAAAATAATACCAGTAATAAATAGATTTAGCTCTTACATCCTTTATAGTATTGAAGTAACATAACAAGTGTATAAGTATTAACACCGCCACTGTAACTGCAATACTAAAACTTAGCTCTTTCAAAATGCATCTTTACATAATTGATATGAAATATGGTTATAGTTACATCATGCAAAATATTACTATATTGGCTTTAAAAAAGAACATGGAAAATAATTTTAATAACTGCGTATATAAGAGGTAAGAATAAATATAGATTTATCAATTCTCTCAAGAAACAAGCCAACAGTGAGGCTGATGTCCCCCGCCGAAATAGGAAAATAATTAGAGGACACATATAAATTTATCACAAATTATCTTTTACAAAGTATTGAACAATCAAACAGTATATCTTTACTTATAGTCTAACAATCAAAGTAGGAGAGTTATTGTTTTCCAAAGTCTCGACCAATCAAATTGCGTATCGCTCTGCTTACCCTGAGCAGAAAATGCTCATTATCAAACTTAGTCAAGGTATTACTGTAATGAAACTATACACCAAGTTTCATCAATCTCACTTAATTAGAACTAAAGTTATCGTGTCCCAAAGCATCAACCAATCAAATTGCTTATCTCTGCTTACCCTAAGCGGAAAATGCTCATCTTCGAACTCCATCAAGGCATTGACCTAATCAACACATACACCAAGTTTGAACATTCTAGCTCAATTAGGAAGAGAGTTATCGTGCCCCAAAGTATCAACCAATCAAATTGCTTATCTCTGCTTACCCTAAGCGGAAAATGCTCATCTTCAAACTCCATCAAGGCATTGACCTAATAAACACATACACCAAGTTTGAACATTCTAGCTCAATTAAAAGTTATCGTGTCCCAAAGCATCAACCAATCAAATTGCTTATCTCTGCTTACCCTAAGCGGAAAATGCTCATCTTCGAACTCCATCAAGGCATTGACCTAATCAACACATACACCAAGTTTGAACATTCTAGCCCAATTAGGAAGAGAGTTATCGTGTCCCAAAGCATCAACCAATCAAATTGCTTATCTCTGCTTACCCTAAGCGGAAAATGCTCATCTTCGAACTCCATCAAGGCATTGACCTAATAAACACATACACCAAGTTTGAACATTCTAGCTCAATTAGGAAGAGAGTTATTGTGTCCCAAAAAGTGTGACGGACAGACAGACGGACAGACAGACAGACAGACGGACAAACCCATTTTAATAGTCCCCTGCTTTCTTCGAAAGGCGGGGGACAAATATGACAAACACAAAATCACAATGAGCTAAACGCTCCTTAAATGTTTGAAAAGATATGAAATGAAATAGGGTTCAACGTCCTATCTTTCTGCACCGACTGGGAAAATGAAAGTAGACATAAGGCATGCAGTGTGCTATGAGGGAGCAAAATTTTGAAATGTCATCCCTTCACAGCAGTGTATTCTTTTTATGATTAACTATTCCTGTGTACACATTGGCATGCATGTAAAAGACCTTATGACAGTTGGAATTCGATATAATATTAGATTGTAGTGCCATTGTCCGGGCAAAATTTACCTCAAAACACACTGGTGTACACCCGTCTTCATTAACCCAGTCAGTGTAGAACAGTAGGACGTTAAACCTTGCTGTAGTTATCTCCCTTTGATCAACCTTATAACAATAACAATCCCACCACTGTGCAATAAAAGGGGGTGGAGACCAAACAATGAAACTTGTCTGCGATATCACCCTAGATGGAAGTGGATGTAAAACTCCAGGAATGAACAAACGAACGAACGAAACAATGAATGAAAAATTAATCCATTTAAGTGCTTTTTTTCAGTTTTCATTTTTTGTGACTTCAGAATGTTAAGTTGTTGGCCTACATTTTATAAATAAGGTTTTATGTAGCTAATCTGTTCTGCTTTCTATGTTGTGCAGGTCTCAGATTAACGATACATTCCCGGGTACAAACTGGGTGATTTGATGATATATTTGGACTAAAAACATATTCAAACTAATTAATTTATCATAATTTTGCTTCAAATCCTTCTCAAAACATTGCAATTGTTGGGGAATACCCTGGCTATAAAAAATCGATCAAAAGAGGTCCTGTTTGTGTCACGTGACTTAACTCTCTCAGTACCTAGCAACAGAAGCGAAGTCGGAGGAGAATTCATTGCTTACACAAGACGATGTTGTCTTTAATCGCTGACTGTTTATTACAAATATCGAAGCCTAATTAAATTCTCGGATTATCCACTGACCGTGTCTTTTTCCGTGATTTTTTATCTCATAAAGTGTTGTACGTCTAACTCTTCATAAAGTTTATCAACATGTACATCTAGCGCTCAATCTCTGTGTGCAACCTTTGAAGTCACGTGTGCAGATACTCCTAATCGTCGGGCTGTCGATTAGGGAAACCCATACATTTTGTCCTGTATGCGCTCTATGAGTGTTTTTCAGGGAATCCATTATTTTTCTAGTAAGATTGGATATTTCTACTTTCCATATATACCAAAATTGCCATACTTTTATTGGAAATAACCACCCGATAAATACTTTTCTGGGAACGTAGCTTTAATAATGTTCAAAATCAAAGATGCCCCCCCCCCCACACACACACCAAAATACCTGTTTTTAGGGTTATACTATTTGTTTTTTTAAGCCAAAATCATTAAACCTCAACTTCATTTTTTTCTCACTTCCCTCTGATCCTTGATCCTTGATCCTATCAATTGGTCTTAACCTGATATTCTGACGACATTTTCATACACGGAAATTTCAATATTTACAACAGTCCAAATTGACATTTTCCTGGTTGTAATCTATTTTTTGGCCTGATTATGAAAGAGATCAGAGACAAGTAAAATACAGTTAAATATATTCTATATATGTAAACAATAAAATCAAATTTAATAATCAACATGGCAAATCTTCTCCAAATTTACTTCTGTGAGCGGAATTTTTCATTGGATAGGTAATCTGAAATATACAAAGATGAAATGAAATGAAATTTGTGCAGGACAATGTCTGTGACAAGTGGCTTATTTCCAGGCTTACAGGTAACTGAATACACAGATTCTGTTAATTTATCTGATAAAATAACCTAGCTCATTATCTAAATAATTATCACAAGCATAGCACCATACAGAAAGATAACCTAGCTTATTATCTATATAATTATCACAAGCATACAGATAACACAGCTCATTATCTAAAAATTATTATAAGCATAGCACCATACAGAAAGATAACCTAGCTTATTATCTATATAATTATCACAAACATAGCACCATGCAGACTAATAACCTAGCTCATTATCTATATAATTATCACAAACATAGCACCATACATAAACATAACCTAGCTCATTATCTATATAATTATCACAACCTACCTCATTATCTATATAACTATCACAAGCATAATGACAGATAACCTACCTTATTATCTATATAATTATCACAAGCATACAGATAACCTAGCTCATTATCTATATAATTATCACAAGCATAGCACCAAAATGACAGATAACTTAGTTTATTTTTAATTATCACAAGCATAGCACCAGACAGAAAGATAACCTACCTCATTATCTATATAATTATCACAAGCATAGCACCAGACAGAAAGATAACCTACCTCATTATCTATATAATTATCACAAGCATAGCACCAGACAGAAAGATAACCTACCTCATTATCTATATAATTATCACAAGCATAGCACCATACAGAAAGATAACCTACCTCATTATCTATATAATTATCACAAACATAGCACCATACAGAAAGATAACCTACCTCATTATCTATATAATTATCACAAGCATAGCACCAGACAGAAAGATAACCTACCTCATTATCTATATAATTATCACAAACATAGCACCAGACAGAAAGATAACCTACCTCATTATCTATATAATTATCACAAGCATAGCACCAGACAGAAAGATAACCTACCTCATTATCTATATAATTATCACAAACATAGCACCAGACAGAAAGATAACCTACCTCATTATCTATATAATTATCACAAGCATAGCACCAGACAGAAAGATAACCTACCTCATTATCTATATAATTATCACAACCTACCTCATTATCTATATAATTATCACAAGCATAGCACCATACAGAAAGATAACCTACCTCATTATCTATATAATTATCACAAGCATAGCACCAGACAGAAAGATAACCTACCTCATTATCTATATAATTATCACAAGCATAGCACCATACAGACAGATAACCTACCTCATTATCTATATAATTATCACAAGCATAGCACCAGACAGAAAGATAACCTACCTCATTATCTATATAATTATCACAAGCATAGCACCAGACAGAAAGATAACCTACCTCATTATCTATATAATTATCACAAGCATAGCACCAGACAGAAAGATAACCTACCTCATTATCTATATAATTATCACAAGCATAGCACCAGACAGAAAGATAACCTACCTCATTATCTATATAATTATCACAAACATAGCACCATACAGAAAGATAACCTACCTCATTATCTATATAATTATCACAAGCATAGCACCATACAGAAAGATAACCTACCTCATTATCTATATAATTATCACAAGCATAGCACCATACAGAAAGATAACCTACCTCATTATCTATATAATTATCACAAGCATAGCACCAGACAGAAAGATAACCTACCTCATTATCTATATAATTATCACAAGCATAGCACCATACAGAAAGATAACCTACCTCATTATCTATATAATTATCACAAGCATAGCACCATACAGAAAGATAACCTACCTCATTATCTATATAATTATCACAAGCATAGCACCATACAGAAAGATAACCTACCTCATTATCTATATAATTATCACAAGCATAGCACCAAAATGACAGATAACTTAGTTTATTTTTAATTATCACAAGCATAGCACCAGACAGAAAGATAACCTACCTCATTATCTATATAATTATCACAAGCATAGCACCATACAGAAAGATAACCTACCTCATTATCTATATAATTATCACAAGCATAGCACCAAAATGACAGATAACCTACCTCATTATCTATATAATTATCACAAGCATAGCACCAGACAGAAAGATAACCTACCTCATTATCTATATAATTATCACAAGCATAGCACCAGACAGAAAGATAACCTACCTCATTATCTATATAATTATCACAAGCATAGCACCATACAGAAAGATCAGAATAACTTAATACTATTCTATGTTCACTCTCAAGCCCATGATATAACATATGTTCATTCTTGAAGCGACTACAATATACCTGAAAGTAACAAAATTATAAATCAAATGATATGGGATTTAATGTCCTACTTTTCTTGGTAATAAGCTGTCAAGTGTACCAGGAGGGAAATTTTGCCCAGACAATGTTGTTTCCGCCCATGCTTCATCAAATTTCACTTATAAAGGGTTCTTTTAGTTTTAGTGCGTTCCAATGCATACACGAATGGACAATCTATGTGCTAGGAATCACAGCATGAGGGGAAATTTTATCTGGGCTAATGAAGACTGGAATATGCCAATAAGTGTGCTATGAGGGAAATTTTTCGTTTAAAGTTAAAGCAGCATTACCACAATTTCAACTGTCAAGGGATGAAAGCAGCATTAGCGCCTTCTCTTCATCAAATTCCAACTGTCAAGGGATCATTTACATGCCCTCCAAGGTGTACATGGGACTAGATGATGTTCCCGCAAGGCTCCACTGACAAGGGACAATTATTCACGTTATATTATATGTTTGTTTACTTCACTTGGCACTTCATCTTGGTCTACAGGCATTTCTTCATGTGGGCCGTCCAGTAATGTCAATCAAACAATCAATCAGATTTAAAAGACAATTGGATAGTCCTATTTTACTTTAAACATAGCCTCAAGGTGACAAATGTTAAGCCAAACAATCAACTATAATGGCTTTTAAGTATTCCATCATTTTATGGTTTAATCAATGTAAAAAGAATTGTTACATTGCCTGATGAAGACTAGAGAAGCTTAGATGAAATGCCACTGTAATAAAAGCTAAGTAATTGTTATACCATATAGTTAATTCCGTTTATTTATACATTTTTAAAAGCCACACAGTTATCAGAGCAGTTTTTATCACCATCACCCTTAAAGATACATTCCCACAACAGTATTTTTTTCTGGTGGTTATTTTCAGTAAAAGTATGGCAATTTTGGTATGTATGGAGAGCAGAGACACCCAATCTTACTAGAAAAATACTGGATTCCTTGACAAACATCCATGGAGTGTATACAGGACAAAAATGAGAGCGTGTCACTAATTGGCAGCCTGACAATTAAGGGATGTCTGCTCGAGTGACATCATAGGTTGCACGCATAGATTGTCTGACCTCAAGGTAGTACTTGATGTAATGTTGATAAACTTGATGGTGAGCGGATGTGGAAAAAGTGATAAACTTAAACGTACAACAGTTTCTGAGATAAAAAACGCGGAAAGAGACATGGGCAGCAAGAGATAATCTGAAAATTTACTTAGAATTTCTTTTAATAGATTTGTTATAACTTTGGGTATTTCGTTAGGAATACAATGTTTTGAGAGGGATTTGAAGCAAATTTTTGATAAATTAATTAATTTGAATATGTTTTTAGTCCAAATATATCATGGAATCACCCAGTTTGTACATGGGAAGGTATCTTTAAGTTTATGTTCAACAATTTGTAGAATAAGACTAGACTAGTTGGGCCCAAATCGCAGAAACTAATATTTTTATTCTCAGTTCCCTGGTCCTATAAATCGGGTCTTAAAATGAGATTGCGAGGCTGGTCCCTTTATATAGTCGCCGAAGACAAGAGTAGAACAGAAGTCTCATGTTGACCAATCTGATTAAAACACAGATCCTATTTTGTTTCGTTTTATAGTTCATAATTTCGTTTTACTTGTCTTTACTACACTATGATCTGGAAGAGTTGTTATCATTGACGTGTTCTGAATGGTGTGAGGAATTAGCAAATGAAACGGTCCGTTACAGCGTGCTTTAGGCGTGTTTTGCTCGGAACTATGGATAATCCACTAGCAACATCAAATAAGTCATGGTAAATAAGGTAAGTTAGAGCTATGCCCCCTTGTGGCGACTCTAGTCCTAAGCTCTTTTAAGTCGAGAGTCTCGAGTTGCAATAAATATGCCAAGTCGAGTTGCAAGTTGGGGGGGAGGAATGTATTTTAAACCTACAAATTTAATTTGATAAAAGCTAAATACAACTTACTTTATAACAGACAAGACAGATCCAATTTTCATCTGTTTCATCGCAATCCAGACAAGGTGCTCTACAGTCTAATCGTCTGCCATTTAATGGTTCTACTTGTTCTAGATGTGGACACCATGGTATAGGTTGAACAGCATACATACGATCTACACCCTGTATATACAATATTTAAATATATGGTATAGGATGAATGGCATACAAACGATCTACACTCTGATCATACAAACAATCTACACCCTGGTCATACAAACGATCTACACACTGATCATACAAACGATCTACACCCTGGTCATACAAACGATCTACACCCTGATCATACAAATGATCTACACCCTGATCATAGAAACAATATACGCCCTAGTCATACAAACAATCTACACCCTGGTCATACAAACGATCTACACCCTGTTTATACAAACGATCTACACCCTAGTAATACAAACTATCTACACACCGATCATACAAACGATCTACACCCTGATCGTACAAACATTCTACACCCTAATAATACAAACGATCTACACACCAATCATACAAACGGTCTACATCCTGATCATACAATCATAAATACATGGTATAAGTTGAATGGCATACATAGGATCTACACCCTAGTCATACAGAGAGAGAGAAAGAAATAGAGTTTAATGGCCACTCAACACAAACAAGGACATTTCGGGACTAACATATGGTTCACTTTATTAGCAGTGGGAGGAAACCAGACGACCAGGACAAAACCCATGAGGTTGGACAGGCGACCCTACTCCTTGTCACGTATAACTGAGGAATCGAAACCATGGCAGTTGACTCAATGACAGACCTGCTAACCATTTGGCCATTCAACACCCCCCTCCATAATGAAACGAAGTCCAACTCTCAAGACAAACATTGAAATTTACCGGGTACATTAATTTGTACTTTACAGTTAGATAATAAGGTTGTATAAAAAAAGACTATAGAATTGGATACTATTTTTATCATTACAAATGGTAATTGGACAGTTATTCCAATAAGTTTTAGTCTTGAACAATTTGTTTATTCAGGGATGTTTTAGTAGCCATGTGTTTCAGTCACCAGACAACCATTTTTATACGATTCCTCTGTTTCACGTTTTTATAAGATAAACAACTGAATGGTGGGTATAAATAATTATTTCCAATAAACGTCTGCTAAATAATACAGTGGCGTTTTTCTGGGTTAGGTAGTCAGGAAAGATGTAAGCTGCTTCCTCCATCAAAGGTTTTTAACTTTAAATCATCTATTTATAACCTTCGTCGTGACTGAAACCTCTGTCTACTCAATAGGATATACTCTCCCTCTACATGACAAAACAATTTGTCAGAATAATGCTGTTTTGGCAGACTTTTGACAAAAGAATGCTGCTCTGGCAGACTTTGTACAAAATAATGCTGTTTTGACTTTATTTGAACAAAATAATGCTGTTTTGTCTTTATTTGAACAAAATAATGCTGTTTTGTCTTTATTTGAACAAAATAATGCTGTTAAATGCTGTTTTGTCTTTATTTGAATAAAGCTGTTTTGTCTTTATTTAAAAAAAATAATGCTGTTTTGTCAGACTTGTAATTAGTGATGTTCCAATTATCGATTTCACCATCGCTAATTGGTGTATGAGTGGCCATTGAAGTGCGGGATTAGCCAATGAAACGATCTGTTACAGGACTTCTTGGCGTGCGATGCACAAAACTGTGGGTAAACCACTAGAAACGTCAACGCTGATTGATTAACCCATGTCTGACATCATAGGGTCAAAAGCCACTCATACGATCCCTGACACGACCTTCCAGTACAACTGGTCAGATCTTCATGTAGTATTGAAAGTATAAAATCAGATTGTGTCTGTGATATATGGTACTTCAGTGAAAGACATTGTTCAACATGGAACTAATTTTGATAAATGGATGTGCTCTTGAACATATTTCAGGATTCCTGCTGGTGGGAATTGACTTGATGCCATCAATCAAGCGTGTAATAATCATGGCAGTTGTCAATACTTTCCTATCAGCGTTAAATTACCTTGATCCCAGACAACTTGATCCATTCACTACAAAATGCACATAAATAACGTGTCACATGTCCGTTAGTTATACATTCATCAGATACTTTATGTTAAATGTGAGTACTAGATAGATACAGTATGAGTACTATTATTGCCAGTAAGGCCAAAGCGATTTAATTCTTAAAGAGAAAGAGAGAAATGGGGTTCAATCTCCACTCAACTAAACTTAGTCTTGATAAGGAGAAATGGGGTTTAACGTCCACTCAACACAAACTTGGTCTTGATAGAGAGAAATGAGGTTTAACCACTCAAGGCAAACTAGATCTTGATAGAGGGAGAGAGAGAGAGAGGAATGGGGTTCAACATCACAATACAAACTAGATCTTGATAGAGAGAGAGAGAGAGAGAGAGAGAGAGGAATGGGGTTCAACATCACAATACAAACTTGGTCTTGAGAAATGGAGCTAAGTCCACTCAACACAAACTTGGTCTTGAGAGAGAGAGAGAGAGAGAGAGAGAGATGGGTTCAACATCACAAAGCAAACTTAAGCTTGGTCTTGATAGAGAGAGAAGTGGGGTTCAAAGTTAACAACACATAAAAAGTCTTGATAAAGAGAAAGAGAGAAATGGGGTTTAACCTCCACTCAACAACACAAACTAGGTCATTTTGTGACTAACATCTGGTAGAATTCATTTTATTTATTCACTTGTGCATATAGCAGTGTAATATGACTTTGGTAAAGTAATTTCACACACAGGAGGACCCAGAGAAAACCCATGATGATACATAGGCGACCCTAGCTACTCCTTGTCATGTATCACGAAACCACACCACCTGACTCAATGACAGACCACTCAGCCCCACTCAGAGTTATGATCAATAGTCACTTGAGTTTAAAGTTTCCTACAATGCATGTAAGAGAGGCCATGCCGATCAATCCCCCACCCTCATGACTACAGGAAGATGAAAGTGTGGTGTTTTAAGCATATAGTTAAGCAAAAAATCGTGCACTTTGGGTTAAAAGCATGAAACTTGGCACATAGATGGCATCAACCCTACTGATTATTTTGGGATGTGGATCCACCTCAGCAGCTCTCCCTGGTGGTCGTTACGGCCATCTTTTCCAAAATGGCCGCCTATCCATTGAAATACATATAACTAAGACATTTTTTTTACAAATCATTTCAGGCCAGCAATTTTCAAAGGCGAAATTGCTAGCTGAACACGATTTTTGAAAAAAGATTTATCTATGACGTCATTTTCGGTTGGGGTTTGTCTGATTTAAAAACTGGCCGCCAAAATTTCAAGAAAACTGGCCGATTGGTCAGATTAAAGTCATTTCACTGTTTGATTTGGTTTGTAATATATAATTTAAAGGGTTTACAGTGTCACTGAACTTAAAATTAATCTAAAGAAAAAAATAGTTTCCAAAATCCAAGATGGCGGAAATTCAAAATGGCAACCAACATTTATCTAAAATGGCCGATTTGTCAGATAAAAGTCATTTCACTCTTTGATATGGTTTGTTATATGTAATATAAAGGGTTTTCAGTGTCAATGAACTTAAAATCAATCTAAAAAAAGAGTTTCCAAAATCCAAGATGACAGAAATTTAAAATGGCCGCCAGAATTTCCCTAAAATGATCAAATTTTAAGATAATCGTCAATTTTCTGTTTGATATGGCTTGTAATATGTCCTCTATTAAGTTTTCAGAGTCACTGAATTTGATAATTGTAGATGATTGTTTCAGAAAAAAAGGGACAATCATCAATCTTTCTATTGGATTGGTTTATAATAGCAAAGTGTAATAGTTTGGAGGGGGGGCAACTGAAATTGACCGGACTCGGGAATCTACCTGTCAGTCAATTAATCTTACCAGTAAGCTAATTAGAATTTCAAAGAATTTAACCTTAAGACACAGTAGATGTAGTTTAATTGTTTTATGCATAAGAACATATGATGCTAATGATAATGTTAAGAATTGACACATTCTTTGGAGAAAATATCTGGTTATTCCGACCCTCCAACCCCACGCCATAACAATACAACAGGGCCAACTGAGGCATTTTTAATTTCATCTCCTTTGTCTTTGCACCGTTTTACTGGAGTGAGAATCATGGAGCAAAGCCAAGGATGACAACAGATGATTAAAGGAGCTAAGTCGCTAATATTTGGGACTTGGAAATTGACACAAATGGGTCGCAACGCATACAGTTATGTAATATTAATGTATATAAATTGATTTACATTCAATTGTTTCTGTTTTGTACTGTAATTTTTTAATCAGTTAGGTTCGGAGAAATACGCCAGTATTCTCAATCGAATTTCAATCTCTAGCGTCTGGTTATTCCAGTCTACGCCGATATTATTTATTGGGCTGCTCTCCAGATAAGAATATAGAGACACCATTTGACATGACTTGTGGAATATGCCTAGCCTCATTTTCGAGTCCCTTATTACAAATAGCGCTGAAACGCATTATGGTACACGATTCGTGTACCATTTGTAAAATGTTTATTTTGTTTAAATATTGGATATTAGAAGGCCATCTTTTCCCGGTTAGATCACAACATCAATGTTGATTTAAACCGACAAATAAATCGTGTTTTCAATCTCAAAGATTTTGGATGATATTGAGTAAGAGACTTAGCTACTTCAAGACCACAATACATCAGCAATACTATATACCGAAAAACACCGGAAAACTACCAGAAAGCTAACGGAAAACAACATGTTATACTGAATACCGAAAAACACAGAAAAACACTAAATACCGGAAAATACACTAATTACTGGAAAACACCCTAAATAGGTAACCCAGAGCCTGGTCCTCTGTTTGCGGGGAGTTAGGGTTAGGGTTTTCTGGTGCTTTCCAGAGGACCAGCGATGGGTTAGGGTTAGGGTTAGGTTTATCCGGTGTTTTCCAAGTTACCTATTTAGGGTGTTTTCCGGTATTTAGTGTTTTTCCGGTGTTTTCCGGTATTCAGTAAAACATGGTGTTCTCCGTTAGTTTTCCGGTAGTTTTCCGGTGTTTTCTGGTATATAGTATAGCCCCAATGCATGTAGGAAAGGCTTATGACAGAGTCAAAAATATTATACACCTTGGCCGGAGGCTAACTAGACCTTGAGTCCCTAGA